GCTGTGTGAAGTCCATAATTGCCAGTAGCATAGGCTGATTAGAAGAAAAGCAGAAAGAAGTGGGCAACAGACCGAAAAACACAGGATGAATCTCAGTGGATCGTATCACAAAGGATACTCTCAGCACTTACAATACCTGGATTCAAATAAGTCGTCTCCAAAAGATCTATCACCCCCACTGAGCGAAATGGTTATTTGCTTCTACGCCTTTAACGGCGTCAGAAGGCAGAGCGCACCGGAGCCGAAGCTTATCTTGGCAGAACTTTTTCCTTGCTAATACCTTAGCCTGCTTAGCCATCTTAGCTACCTGTTTGCTAAACATAAGCTAAACCTTTAGTAAGGTTTCAATTTCGCTCGATGAAATTGCACAACTTCGCTTTTTCCACGAGAAAGTAACATTAAAAAAACAGGTATAGAAAATATACATGTTTGCTAAATCAATCATACAAAATCTTGATTTAATGGGGAAATAACAGAAAAATATGTGAAAAAACATGATCCCATGGTTGTTAAACTTTGATTTCTATGATATTCCTGGCAAATTTGTTGCTATGTACAAAGTGGAAATCAGCTTTGGATTTCCATGTCAAATTAATGCATCCAGGTCATTGAAGAAGCAGTGGTGGCAACACAAATTGAAAGCAATTTGGATATGCATGCATGGCTTGCATGTCTGAAAAGCACTGGGTGCTTGCAATAGCACTATGTGCTCACATGGAAAATTGCCACAAGGAAATGCAGAAACATGGTGGGAATCACAATGCTTAGCACTATGTGCTCACATGGAAAATTGCCACAAGGAAATGCAGAAACATGGTGGGAATCACAATGCTTAGCACTATGTGCTCACATGGAAGCTTGCCACAAGAAAATGCAGAAACATGCATGCACAATGCTCACCTTTTTTTTCTATGCCAGCATTCTGCATGGTCAAGGTGGGCCTCTCAGCATTGGTGGTGCCTTGGTTCTCATGGTCCTTGGTTCTCATTGTCCTTGGTCTCCTTGGTCTGCTTGGTCTTGTGCTGGTGGCCAGCTGGCACAGTAGTGTGGGCCAATCTCCAGGTAGCTCTGGATCCATGGCTTTTGGCATACTGTGCAGTTGGCATAGTCCCTGGATTTCTGGACCCAAATCCAGGACCTGCAGCCTGGGCTGGAGCAGTGCTGGGCCCAGTACTGCTGCTCATTGGCTGGGCCTTCCACCAGCTTGGACAAATCCACACTGCTTGGTGGCCCTGGCTTGTAACACCATGATGGTCGCCCATATTGGTCATATGTGGTACCATGGCCATCTTGGTGCACATCTGGAGTTTCCATGGCATTTCCCATGGCTGGCTGGCTATTGTTTGGAGCACAGTGTGCTGGGTGCTAGCTGGCTTTGAGCTTATAGGTCACAGAAAGTATGGTACAATTTGGAAAGCACTTATAGATCACAACTGCTACTCTGAAAGCACTGTGTGCTGTGGACTTCAAACAAATGCAAACTGAATGGCAGCATAGCATTGTTTTTCTTAAGGCTTGCTGGGCCTGTAAGCCCATGGGATGAGAACCCTTATGGCTCTTTGTTCCTCTGGCTAAAACACATGGCAAAAGATGGACTCAGCCTCTATTAGCTGCAGCTGGTCCTGGATTTGGATTTGAGCTGACTGGGTGACACATGAATATTCTATGCAAGTAGAGAAAGTCACTATATGGAATACAGTCACCCCATATTGGCCAAATGTGGTGCCATGGCCATCTGGGACTTGGTGCACTTGCTGGTCAGCAATTTGGACAGCACTTTGCTGGTGCATTTCTGTTTGAAGCAATGGCTTCTGCCACCTGGATGGCAGAAGCCATTGCTCAAAACATGGAACAAAGACTGCACAACAAACAATGCAGGGCATTGGTTGCTGTGCAGCCAATGCTTAGACAGGAAAAATCAAGTTTCACCTGCTGGACCCTCTGGTCTTGAGCTGCATATGGAAGTCTGAGTCCTTTGGTACTGGTGACCTGATGGAAGAAGGCATCAAGTCTTTCTTGGAGCCACAAGTGTGCAACCGCCTGTGGCTCTTGGTGGCAAGCCCTTGGCAAGGGCCTGCTCCCATCCACCCCACCCAACCTCCCCACACTAGGGGCAAACCAAGTGTTCACACCACAATGCATGGGATGAACACATGGTTTGCCTCCAGTGCACCATGCATGGCTTCATCTGGCAATATAGAAGCACAGTGTGCTGGGTCCTGGCTTTGAGCCTATAGATCACAGAAAACATGGATGTAATTTGGAAAATGCTACTCTGAAAGCACTGTGTGCTGTGGACCCCAAGCAAATGCAAATTGAATGGCAGCATGGCATTGTTTTCCTTCTTTTGCTAACACATCCTAATCCTTGCTGGGCCTGTAAGCCCATGGGATGAGAACCCTTATGGCTCTTTGTTCCTCTGCATAAATCACAGGGCAAAGGATGGACTCAGTCTCTATCAACTGCAGCTGGTCATGGATTTGAACTTGAGCTGAATGGGTTACAAATGAGTATTCTATGCAAGTACAAAAAGTCACTATGGAATACAAAACACTTTGGACTTCAAAGTGTTGCTCCATTCTGGCAACTTGCCACTTGTAGGCATTGGTGCTCCTAATCAAAATGAAATCTTTTTGGTGGATGGAGCCCCCTAGTGCCAGCTTTGCTGAAGTGGCAGTCCAAACATGTTCCTTTGGAATTGCCTGCTTGAAAATTGCAGCAGAAAGAAAAGCATTGGCCTTAACACTTGGATGGTGCCTGTTCAAGAGTTTCACCCCTGGCTGCAGGTGGTCTGAATGCTGTAAATTGTACAAATCATGGGACAAGCATTCTTCCAGCAAACTGAGACTGAAACCATTGATCCTCTTGCAATGGTTGGCAAACATCATGACAGTTTTGTGTTTCCTTTCAAGGCTCCAGCAATTGGGAAGACACTTCCATAAGTCCAAGTGGCTGCTCAAATGGAGCATCCAATGGTGCTTCCTCAGCATCTGGTTTTCACCATTGGTTTCCTTGAACAAGGCCAAGGCATCTTCAATGGCTTGCCTCAGTTCACATCAGCATGCATGAGAACAAGGGGTGCAAACACATGGCTTATGCACTGTTTCTGCCTAGATGCTGCAACATGGGTGGTTGAACACAGCCAAGTGGGATAGCTTGCAACATGTCCATGACTTTTGCCATGGCCAAGAAGCTTTGGCATTGCCCTGGGTGAACACCAGCTGGCACACAAATGGAATTCACCAAGTATTCCAGCATGGTGGTAAGACCAATGGCTTCTGATGCTGTACATTTGAACTTGGAATTTTCCTTGTAGAATTTGGTTCTCTTGGCTGCAAACAAATCATGGAGCTTCCCTGCTTTGGCCATGGCCTTTGGCAAGGTCCACAGCTGGAGAAATTCTTGGATACTGCCCCATGGCATGTCCAGCTGGGAAAGCAAGAGCCAAATGGATCTTTGCATCACCCCTTGGGAAGCCATGGTGTGCATCCAGTCATGGATGTAGCCACTGATTGGCTTCAAGAGGTTGCTATCCAAAAGTGGCTGATGGAGCAGGAGGGCATGGTGGCTGAAGGTGATGCCACTGGCCCTCTCCCACAACTCAAAATGCTTCTTGGAAAGTGCCCTGGATTTCTGCTTGCACACTTGGAAGGCTTGCAGCACTTCTTGGTCTGTGGCTAAAATGCAATCTGCAAGCCTGGTGACATTGGATCCTGGTATGTCTTCCTCTGGGGTATCTGCTGGCAATTCCAAAGCTATGGATCTGATGTTGGAACAGAACATGCAGAACTTGTCCCCTGATGCACCTTTGATATTGAAAGTTTGCTTCATGGCCAAGCCATCTTGGACAAAGCCACCCAAATCAAAGTATAGCATCAGATCCATGGTGCCATTTGGGTGTGGCATGTACAAGCCATTCCTTGGGTCACAAGCTGGTCCCAAGAAAGTTGCTTCAATGATCTTGGCAAACACCTGGCCAATGCTGGCTTCCAACTGAGCCACTATAGTGGATGGCAGCAATGCCAATATGAACCATGCATCTTCACACTGGAGCATGGTCATGTGCTGGGCAAAAGAAGCATATATGGCAAAAACCTTCCTGTTTTGTCTGGCAGCCAATTGGTTCCCTGGAACCACTTCATCTGAATATAGCAGTAGCTGCCATGGCTTCTGTGGACTGCTTGGGTTCTTTGCATGTGCATTGTGAAAAAAATTGGCCCATGAGCCATTCAGCTGGTAGACACCAACCAACAAGCTCAACAAATTGACAATCCAAATTGGCTCCATGGTTCCTTCTGTAGTGGCCACATTGGCTTCAAGCAGCAATGGCCCATATGCATCCATGGAAGACAACTGCAACCTGGTTGCTTCCTTCATATCTCTCTTGTATTTCAAGTTTGGCATTCCTTCTTGGTGGATCTTGCACAGCAAGCTCTGTAAGGCTGATTGGCTCACAAATGGACATGACCTCCTGATGTCATTGAGCTTTTGGAGTTTGGCAGGCCTGCTGGAAGAAGAGGAAGCCATTGCTGTGCTGTCTGGCAAACAAAATCAAACAATATACTTGGTATATATTGCTTCATTGCTTGCACTGATTCCTTGGTTGCTGGTCACCCCTTGCATCACATTGACAAGCTGTGGCCACACATGAAGCTGCAATGGAATGGATTTCATAAAGCACATGTGTGCTGCTTAGAAGCTTTGATGCTGTGGCATGAACTGACTGAAATAGTTAAAGCACAGTGTGCTGAGACAGTGAAAAAAGAAGCTCTGGATTTTCCTTGCACAATTGTGGTCAAGTTTCATCACATGGCTATCCATGTGGAACCAAATAGCACTAATTGCTGGCTTGCCAGTGCACAGTGGCCAAATTTCATCACATGGGTAAAACCCATGTGGAAGCCCACAGCAAAAGTTTGCTTTCTACAGCTGGTGCAACACTAATTTGGCTTGCCTCAGCATGGCTTCTCCAAACCATGTGGCTTGCATGGTGGTGATCCATCCTACTTGGCATTTGGTGCCAACCTGTACCATGCTTCTCTGCCATGGACTTTCAAGCCATTGAAACCTGGTTTTCTGCATGTTTCACAGCCTTTCAAGTTGCCTCTGCATCTGAGACAGCCAAATGGCTCTGCTTTCTTGATGGTGGCCTTGGCTTTGGCCTTTGGCTTCTTGGCCTTGGTGGTTGGCTTGGCTTTGGCAGGCTTGGCAGCCTTGGTTTCTGCTGGCTTTTTCATCTCCTGCTTCTTCAGCAAGGAAGTAAAAGCATGCTGGTTCCACTGCTCCAATGTCTTGGTAGCCTTGCCACCCTTGTTCTTTACCACTTCCTGGTCCTGTGTTTGCTTGGCATCTTCTTGCTGTGCTGCTGGTACATGCACAATGGCCTTTGGTGCTGCAGTAACAGAGGTTGCATCTTGTGTGTCTTGGAGAGGCAAAGGCTGGCCAGTGGAAGGCTCATGGCACTGGTTTGCCTGTTTGGTATGTGCATCCCATTGCTGCAAATTGCTTGCAAAGGCTTTGGGCTGCAAGGCAACTGGTTCTGTTGCATTGGTTTGTACTTTCACATTGCCATCTGGCTGATGTGGCCTGATGTTGGCCTTGGCTCCTTGCAGCAACTTAGAAGTGGATCTCACAGGAATGTGGTGTGCCTGCAGCAAAGGCATATCTACAAAGAATCTGGCTTCTGGTTTCTGGCTTGGGTATAGCCTTTCCATTGCATCTTGCCCCAGGTCCATGGGATTTTCTGGGTACACTTGGAGGCAAGGAACACCAGGTGGTACATCTGGTTGGCATGCCAATGCATGGGTGAAGTGCTCAACCAAACTGTAGATGGCATGGTATGGAGGCAAATCCTTGCAACCTTGCTGCCTTTGGATGCACAGCAAAATGGCAACACCTGCTCTCTTGGTGCTTTCCTTCATGGCCTTGATGCCTATGGCTCTAAGCCTTCTTGCAAGGACCAAGCAGCCCTCCCATGCATTGGTGCTTTCCAGCTGGCTCCAATCTTCTTGGGTAAGATACTTATGGAGCCAATCACATGCACTGGCTGTGGTGGTGACTTTCATGGCCATGTTGTTCTGGCCCATCATCAAATTGTCCAACTCCAAGGTGATGGCTTCAATCATGGATCCTGGAAGCTTGGATGTCTTGAGGTGATTCAGCAGCATGACAGCATCTGTGCTGGGCATGCCATGCATCTTGCTCAACTTAAAGTTGGCTTGCTGGGTGAGCCCCTCAACAAGCCTTGGATCCATGTTCCTGGCTTGCAGGAGATCCTCATTGGCTTTCAGCTCTGCCAGCAAAGTCTTGGCACTGAACATGGCTGGGCTGGTGCACACAGCACACTGCAGAAATGCAGCTGATGGTAGTAAATGCTAAGGATATGAGGATGCAGATTTCATATCTGTCTGAGAAGCACTGTGTGCTGAACATGTGCTGTCAACAAAATGAAGGCTTCAAGCTTTCAAGCACTGTGTGCTGCATGGTTGGTGTTTCAAGAGAAGGGCTAGAAACAAATGCACTTACATGATTTTTCTCTGCTGTTAGCTGCTGTGGCAAAGCTGCTTTGGTTGCCTTTGTCAGAGGTCACAGCCCCAAGTGAAATTGTCTGGGTGGTCATAAACCAATGGTCCACATCCAAACCAATGGTTCACAAAGCCTTGCATGGCTTCATAATCCTGATACAGGATGGTCTGGCTAATCTCATTGTTAGACATCCTGGAGCAAAGTGCAAAAGATGCAAAACAAACAGCACCAAGTGCTACCCAACACAGCAAAATGGGATCAATACACAAGTGCATGGCAGCCTGATGAACAAATGTCCTTTCATAGTTTTGTTGGTTGTTGGCCAAGTAGCACACCTCCCTGACTCTCATCATTGGGCCAGACCATTGGGTGAAGATAGTAAAAGGATCTGGCATTGGTGGCTCATACCTCATTGCTTTTGCAAGATCTAGCATGCAATGGCACAGAAATGCATGAATCAACTCACAATCAATGATTGGAACACACTGCAGTGGAGGTGCCACTGCAGCCATCCATTGGTGAATCTGATGACAAAATACCTATGGCCTCTATACATCTCAAGGAAAGTGCTGGCTATGATGGTTTCAAATATGCATTCCATCTTTGGGCAATGGATGGCTTGCAGAATGGAACATCATAATGAAAGAACTTCAATGTACAAACATGTAAGCACTTTGTGCTGCTGACATTGAATCATTGCCAACATTTTTGTCTTTCATCTGTTGGTATCAGAATGGTCTTACCATTTTGGTAGCTGCTGCCAGTGAATTACCCAAACCAATAGTCAACCTTTGGCTGCATGGTCTCATAGTCTTGGTAGAGGAGCATGTTGGTCAGCTCTTCCATGGTGATCCTGGAACACCATGGTGAACAACACAATGTGCCATGACAATTCAAAGCAAGACACATGTTTCTATCAATGTTTTCTGCATGGTCTGTCCTTTCATGGATGCTGTCTTGCTCCACCAATGTACAAACCAATCTATGGCTTGGCCTATATCTGGAATCTCCATAGTACCAATTGGTGTAGGCAACATTGGATGGCCTTGATGGTGGTGTATACCTTGGCAAGATGTAGGATTTTGTAGTTTGCAAAAATGAACTGCAAAGAAACTCAGCAAATGGAAACAACATGTATGCAATATGTATTTCCTTGTTGCAACCAAAGTACCATTGAAACCATCCATTGGAAAACATGATCACAAACCATTTGACATGGTTATACTTACAATGGAAATGGTCTGTTATTCTGACCATCTTGAACTGAAGCTGAATCAAGAACAAGAAGAATAGTTGAAGCACATGGTGCTGATTACTTAAGATGATATTTACTTCATATACAACTTGAGTTTGAACATAAGATATACAATCAACACTATATAAACTTACATAGTATTTAGATTCTAAACTCAAATCCAAGGTATCTTGATTTGAGTTTAGAATCTAAACTCAAAACCAAACTATACTGATTTGAGTTTAGAATCTAAACTCAAATCAAGACATTTTGGATTTGAGTTTAGATTCTAAACTCAAATCAAGATTTGAGTTTAGATTCTAAACTCAAATCAAGATAGTGTGGATTTGAGTTTAGAATCTAAACTCAAATCAAGACATTTTGGATTTGAGTTTAGATTCTAAACTCAAATCAAGATTTGAGTTTAGATTCTAAACTCAAATCAAGATAGTGTGGATTTGAGTTTAGATTCTAAACTCAAATCAAGATACCTTGGATTTGAGTTTAGATTCTAAACTCAAATCAAGATAGGTTGAACTTAAGTGTTGATTATAAAACCAATTCAAAATACTTTGGATTTGAGTGTAGATATACATTGAATTTGATGTTGAATCCTAACTCAAATCAAGATAACTTGCAACAAATATCAACTGTATACATCAACCCAAATGCATTAGATATTCAATATCAACAACATTACACCAAACTGAACAACATAACATGAAACATCATATATTGTTATGATGAAATACCATAGCAACAAATTAACATCATAATCTGAAGCACTTGGTGCTGATTAGATGGAATTGTTTGAACACTAATTTGATACACATGTACTACCAAGCACTAAGTGCTCATTACATGGAACCAAACTCTAAACAGCAATTCACTGGAAGCACATGGTGCTGATCAAATGTCAAGCAACACTTTTTCCCCCCATCTCCCTGGTTGGCAGCTCTGGTGCATCACTGGCGCCAGTGCACTCCTTTGGGAATGCTCTGGGCCCAGTTGGCTCCACAATGGCTGCAAGCCTTATTGGCCCAGACCTTCCACAGCCATGCCCAGCTGGTGTGGCACTGCTGGCATCTCACTGCAAGCCACTGGCCTGGTGGCCAGACCTGCCATGCAGATTTACAGATATCAAATCATCAAATCAATCAACACTGAAATCAATCAAATCATCAAATCAACAATACTCATACTTAACATCATGAAATCAATGAACAACACACCAAATATCACCCAGTCCTTGGCAGCATCAGGTGGTCCTGGGAGCACCTGCACAGAATCAATGTCAAAATACATCAAAAAAACAACATTCACAAACCCAAGCCCAATGTAAATGACAACCCATGGAAACCCATGCCTGGCTTTTGGTCTTGGCAGCTGGCTTGGCCTGACCCTTCATGGTCTTCATGCTCTTGGTTGGCTCCTGCAGGAACATGCATGTGAAAGAACTACAAACAGTGTCTTTGTCTCCCCTGATGGCCTTCATTGCCTTCATGGCTTTGGATGCCTTCATGGTCTTCATGGCATGGGGCTTGGCCTCTGCAGCCACATGCATGGCAAAACACAGTTCAAAACAGAACAAAAATCACAACATCACTGACCAACATGTTATACATGTCTGGTCTCTGTTGTCCTGCAGTGCCTTCTTGTCCTTGATGGCCTTCATGGGAGTGGCCTTCATCAAACAGATTGGCATGAAATGCACTTGAACCAAATGATTCAATATGGCCTTCATGGCTTTGGACTTCATGGCCACCAT